ACAAATCTGGAGATGAGTTTACAAGGCCTGTGTAGCCGGTTCAAGAGGCAGTGAGGTTTTTTGTTCGAAACACCATTGCAGACTCATTCGATACCCTGCGGGAACGAGCTGCACCAACTTCATAAAGTAGAACCCATTTCTATTGAATAAGTAGTATCGGTTACACAATGGTTCCAGGTATTTTCTAAATAAACTCCTTTGTGTAAATAAAGAGATTTTAACCGATAATTTAGACCAAAAGCTTTGTTGAACTTTCAGTCGTGCAACAGGGAAGAAACTTAAATTTAAATGTTATCAGTTTTAGTTTCCAGACGTACAAACTTTCGTGTGAACCGAGCTAGCTAAAGCCTTGTATATCTGAGCCAACGAGAAATCTCCACACTTGCATTTCCATTTGTCATCACACTATCATGTAAGAAGAGTCACATATTTATGGATCATCCAATTAAATCAGCAGACTCCTAGTTGTTACTACTGCTCCGCTTAGACTCGGTTATAGGTGTTTCTGGGAATCTGCATTAACTGCGAACTGTCCAAATGTGTTAGCAAAAATATTCGCACAACTTACGTCATTACGTGATGGGGTGCGAAAAGATAATGAATTTAGCGACAGCTCCGTGGCAAATGTTAAAGAAATGTGTAAAAATTCTTTTCTTCCAGAAATTGTAACCTTTTCACCGCCTCCCACGGGAGAAGGGGGGGAGGGGGGGAGGTAGAGGGGGTGTGCATGATAAGTAAATCAACTTGTGAAACTAGTTCACCGCAAATATCAGTTGTTTGTTTAGATACTGTAATTGTGGGCATTCTCAAACCCATTATTGATATATCCATTAAGTTGTGTAAATATCTTATCAAGACTGTTGGGGTTCAGTTCCTGTGCCCATTATGTGCCTCTGTGACCTTAAAAGTCTATACCGCCCACAGGATAAGTATGGGGGTCCACTACCGCCCACAGGATGGGTATGGGGTCCACTACCGCCCACAGGATGGGTATGGGTGTCCACTACCGCCCACAGGATGGCTGTGGGGTCCACTACCGCCCACAGGATGGCTGTGGGGTCCACTACCGCCCACAGGATGGGTATGGGGGTCCACTACCGCCCACAGGATGGGTATGGGTGTCCACTACCGCCCACAGGATGGGTATGGGGGTCCACTACCGCCCACAGGATGAGTATGGGGGTCCACTACCGCCCACAGGATGGGTATGGGGGTCCACTACCGCCCAAAGGATGGGTATGGGTGTCCACTGCCGCCCACAGGATGGGTATGGGGGTTCACTACCGCCCACAGGATGGGTATGGGGGTCCACTACCGCCCACAGGATGGGTATGGGGGTCCACTACCGCCCACAGGATAAGTATGGGGGTCCACTACCGCCCACAGGATGGGTATGGGGTCCACTACCGCCCACAGGATGGGTATGGGTGTCCACTACCGCCCACAGGATAAGTATGGGGGTCCACTACCGCCCACAGGATGGGTATGGGGTCCACTACCGCCCACAGGATGAGTATGGGGGTCCACTACCGCCCACAGGATGGGTATGGGGGTCCACTACCGCCCAAAGGATGGGTATGGGTGTCCACTGCCGCCCACAGGATGGGTATGGGGGTTCACTACCGCCCACAGGATAAGTATGGGGTTCACTACCGCCCACAGGATGGGTATGGGGGTCCACTACCGCCCACAGGATGGGTATGGGGGTCCACTACCGCCCACAGGATAAGTATGGGGGTCCACTACCGCCCACAGGATGGGTATGGGGTCCACTACCGCCCACAGGATGGGTATGGGTGTCCACTACCGCCCACAGGATGGCTGTGGGGTCCACTACCGCCCACAGGATGGCTGTGGGGTCCACTACCGCCCACAGGATGGGTATGGGGGTCCACTACCGCCCACAGGATGGGTATGGGTGTCCACTACCGCCCACAGGATGGGTATGGGGGTCCACACCCGCCCACAGGATGAGTATGGGGGTCCACTACCGCCCACAGGATGGGTATGGGGGTCCACTACCGCCCAAAGGATGGGTATGGGTGTCCACTGCCGCCCACAGGATGGGTATGGGGGTTCACTACCGCCCACAGGATGGGTATGGGGGTCCACTACCGCCCACAGGATGGGTATGGGGGTCCACTACCGCCCACGGGATGGGTATGGGGGTCCACTACCGCCCACAGGATGGGTATGGGGTCCACTACCGCCCACAGGATGGGTATGGGGTCCACTACCGCCCACGGGATGGGTATGGGGTCCACTACCGCCCACAGGATGGGTATGGGGTCCACTACCGCCCACAGGATGGGTATGGGGTCCACTACCACCCACAGGATGGGTATGGGGGTCCACTACCGCCCACAGGATGGGTATAGGGGTCCACTACCGCTCACAGGATGGGCATGAGGTGCATATAATAATTAAACAAAATTAAACTGAACTACAACAATTCCTCTGACCTTTTCCTCTTTACATAGTTCGTGCTATCTGAATAATAAGTTGTTGTTTTAGATTTAGCTACTCAGAACGAAGTGTCCACGTAAACTGAAGAATAAGAAGCAGCGTTATTATTTACACTTCCGCACACCTCATCCGCAGTCTCTGCAATCTCAGTTACAGAGGCTCATCTGGAAAATCGTTGCCATCATGTCGTCAGGTTAGGCTGGTCCTGGCGGCGGGCCGCATATCTGCCACAGACCTCGCCGAGCTGCTCAGATATCACTGAGCCTCATATACTAGTCGCCTCTCGTGGCTGCCATCCTCGTCTGTATCTGCGGTCTGGAATGGAATAATTTGAAGCATTAAATAAATTTCTGGTTGTACCAAGTTCAAGTAAGTTTATTGAGACGATAAGATACATATCAAAAGGATTGAGGAACTTGCTTTTCTCCTCAAAAGGATTTGAGGAGCTCACATTCATACAGTACACAGATCATATTGTACATTTCACATTCCAATAGGCATCTCATAGAACTTATTTCAAACTATTTTAGTATTAACTCTTGGGGTAAAGTGTTTGTTTCTCTTAAGAATTATGTCTATTATATCGTTAACTCACGTCCAAACAATTTGATGTGGTACTCTACTGATTTTTGTATTTCTATAGTTATCAAGCAATTTACACTCTAATACATAGTGATCTAAGGTGTGGGCGTGCGGCATACTATATACACAGAGAGAAATCACACTAACGTGATGTGTCAATGAGAAAATCCGTAGCAGCCGTGATAAGGATTCGAACCTATGCGTTGGGTATTCCCAAGCACGTCCCAGATAACTAGGCCACGACATGGTCAAAAGGATTGTAACTTAGGGTTCTACTGAACCCACGAGTGTTCCTGAGGCTTACTACATAATTTACACTCCTTATCTTTTTCACTGACAGCAAAACAAAGGTTCACTGAGCTCTTCTTTACATACTTTAGTAACCCTGGCAAATGCTTCGTCTGTTTCTGTGACTTTGTTGGGCTGCTATTTTTATATTTGTTAAATTACTTCCTTCCTAATAATAAATAAACTAGTAAATTTGTCCTCTTCACCTACGTATATTTGTTCAGCTGCAGGCATAATGTTAAGTTCTTCTCTAGTACATAGAAAGAGAGAAAGTACTATTTAAAATACATAGCGTTGCCCGAAACATGCGTACTAGTGGCTTTAGGCATTGTATGTACTACCTCTATCTTTAAATCAAACAGAATGTTTGTACTGTAACTCTGCAACTATGTATGTACTTTCCTAAATAAATTATTATTATTATTACATCTCATTTCCTTCTCATTATCCGCTACCTGGCATAGACTACCTGTCTACCTGGCCTGTTGCATTTTTCAATGGCCCTGAAACTTGGGCAGACACCTGGACCTAATCACACCTAAATTATCAGTTAGACATTAAATCTATACCTCAAACGTGGTCAAGTAAGGGTAGTGGGAGCTGACCAGGATAATTTAGAAGATTACAATTTCCAAATGAAGCATAATACTCTGCTGACATTTACAGCCTCAATCGAGTACTTATTCTGCTGGAGATCACTGACAACCCGTCCTGCTAATAGAACGTCGCATTTTGACGTATACTCTACCTAAGGGCAATAATTATCGTACTAGAAAATGTTAGAGGCTCGCAAAATTGTTCCGTTTTCCGTTTTGGGTCTTCTAGGTAGGTTAGGATATGTGCAATTTTAATACGACCGTTTCTTGACGTTGGGAAGGCTTAGGAGGACGGGTTGCACTGGCATCTGGTCACTCCCTAAATGTTTTCCCTGTAGTTTCTGTCGCTATTCTGGTATTGTAAGTCTGCTACCTAGTTGTGTGGTATCTGCAAGCTTTGCCTAACAGTAAACAGGTCTAACCTGTCCCGTGTGTGCATGGCTCCAGTAGTGAGCGGGTGGTGGCCGGCCAGGAGACCACAGCACAACGTACTGAGAGCCATGTTGAACGTCATTGCTTGCCTTGCTCCTGCAACGTGTGCAGGATGCTCCAGCGTCCTCCAGGGAGGGATACCACACCCCACAGTGTTTATTATTCCAAGATGATATATTGACCAGAACTCCCTCATCCCCCACACATATACAAAATATATAGTCTGTATCACAGACACCTGCTCCCCCACACAGACAACACACCTGCTCCCTCCTGCAGACAACACACCTGCCCCCCCTGCAGACAACACCCCCCCCCCCCCCGCCGCAGACAGGACAACTGTCCTCTCAGCAGACTCTCGCTCACATTCGTTATACATTTTTTAAGTCTATTTCCAAGCAATTATAATTCACGGGAATTAAGTGGAGTAATTAGGGGCCTCAATTCGCGTGTGGCAGTGGTAATTACCCCCTCGCTGGGAGGCTGTGCCGGTGGTCAAGGTAATTGCTTCTTTACCTTCCAGTGTAATTATTATTTTGTGTTATCTTTACTTAGAAAATTATTACTTTGAATACTGATTATTTTGCGCGTCAATTCGCTAATTACTCTCGGGCGTTGATCACTTTTGAGTAATGATTATTTTGGTATAATTACTTTGTGATATAATTGTCTTGAATAATGGTTACTCTGTGTTATAATCTGCATGTTGTGAGGCGGCATGTTGTGAGGCTCCATGTTGTGAGGCTCCATGTTGTGAGGCTCCATGTTGTGAGGCTCCATGTTGTGAGGCTCCATGTTGTGAGGCGGCATGTTGTGAGGCTCCATGTTGTGAGGCCGCATGTTGTGAGGCTCCATGTTGTGAGGCTGCATGTTGTGAGGCTCCATGTTGTGAGGCTCCATGTTGTGAGGCTGCATGTTGTGAGGCTCCATGTTGTGAGGCTCCATGTTGTGAGGCTGCATGTTGTGAGGCTCCATGTTGTGAGGCTCCATGTTGTGAGGCTGCATGTTGTGAGGCTCCATGTTGTGAGGCTCCATGTTGTGAGGCTGCATGTTGTGAGGCTCCATGTTGTGAGGCTCCATGTTGTGAGGCTGCATGTTGTGAGGCTCCATGTTGTGAGGCGGCATGTTGTGAGGCCGCATGTTGTGAGGCCGCATGTTGTGAGGCTCCATGTTGTGAGGCCGCATGATGTGAGGCTCCATGTTGTGAGGCCGCATGTTGTGAGGCCGCATGTTGTGAGGCTCCATGTTGTGAGGCCGCATGTTGTGAGGCTCCATGTTGTGAGGCCGCATGTTGTGAGGCTCCATGTTGTGAGGCCGCATGTTGTGAGGCTCCATGTTGTGCGGCCGCATGTTGTGAGGCTCCATGTTGTGAGGCGGCATGTTGCTGGTGACCCTAACCAGAGCTCTGCTTTAAGAGAGAGAGAGAGAGAGAGAGAGAGAGAGAGAGAGAGGAGGAGGAGGAGGAGGAGGAGGCACTGTGTACCATGACAGTGCCAAACATGAGAGTCACCTGTATGATACACAAAAATAAAGCTCATTTTGCCCCGTATTAAGTTGCCTGTATTGATGTATACCTACATACATCAGTGTCATCTATGTATACCAGTATCATTTAATACAGTATGTGTATTTATGTATCATTCAGACGTCTATTTTTTCCTCCCAGTGTCCTGTAATGTATTTTATGTATTCTCCGGCTGGGAGTGTAGAACCCGTGGAGACTAGTGAGGTCTCTTCAGCATACGTCAGGTTGTATAGTTGTACAAATACAGTAGCCTAATTGTCTATAACGCTGTGGTTGTTGCTTCAACAGTTCCAGTTGTATTGGCTTCACTGAGAGTGATGATACACCCACACACGTGGGCAGTGCCCGACCACACACGTGGGCAGTGCCCGACCACACACGTGGGCAGTGCCCGACCACACACGTGGGCAGTGCCCGACCACACACGTGGGCAGTGCCCGACTACACGTGGGCAGTGCCCGACCACACACGTGGGCAGTGCCCGACCACACACGTGGGCAGTGCCCGACCACACTCGTGGGCAGTGCCCGACCACACTCGTGGGCAGTGCCCTCCCACACACGTGGGCAGTGCCCTCCCACACACGTGGGCAGTGCCCGACCACACACGTGGGCAGTGCCCGACCACATTCGTGGGCAGTGCCGGACCACACACGTGGGCAGTGCCCTCCCACACACGTGGACACTGCCCTCCCACACACGTGGAAACTGCCCTCCCACACACGTGGGCAGTGCCCTCCCACACACGTGGGCAGTGCCCTCCCACACACGTGGGCAGTGCCCTCCCACACACGTGGACACTGCCCTCCCACACACGTGGGCAGTGCCCGACCACACACGTGGGCAGTGCCCGACTACACTCGTGGGCAGTGCCCTCCCACACGTCCTTCACTGCCCTCCCCCATAATAATCCACACCGCTACCCCCATTCTTACCTACAACAATACCATTCCATCGCCATGGGTAGCACCCCCGGCCCTCTGCTGTCATGGGGGGGGGGGGACGCCCCGTCCAGACCCCTCCCCTCCCTCCCTCACCGACAATGGCCAATCTAGAGCTGGATCGCCCTCCCCTCCTTGCCCTTCCCTCCCCTCCTTGCCCTTCCCTCCACCCGTCTTGCCTTACCTTGCCTATCAATCCCTCTTTACACTTTGCTTTGTTTTTTGTCTACTCGTTATGTGTCCAGCTGGTCTCTTGGTTATGTCCAGCTGGTCTCTTGGTTATGTCCAGCTGGTCTCTTGGTTATGTGTCCAGCTGGTCTCTTGGTTATGTCCAGCTGGTCTCTTGGTTATGTGTCCAGCTGGTCTCTTGGTTATGTGTCCAGCTGGTCTCTTGGTTATGTCCAGCTGGTCTCTTGGTTATGTGTCCAGCTGGTCTCTTGGTTATGTGTCCAGCTGGTCTCTTGGTTATGTGTCCAGCTGGTCTCTTGGTTATGTCCAGCTGGTCTCTTGGTTATGTCCAGCTGGTCTCTTGGTTATGTCCAGCTGGTCTCTTGGTTATGTCCAGCTGGTCTCTTGGTTATGTCCAGCTGGTCTCTTGGTTATGTCCAGCTGGTCTCTTGGTTATGTCCAGCTGGTCTCTTGGTTATGTCCAGCTGGTCTCTTGGTTATGTCCAGCTGGTCTCTTGGTTATGTCCAGCTGGTCTCTTGGTTATGTCCAGCTGGTCTCTTGGTTATGTCCAGCTGGTCTCGTTGGGGGTGTATTCTTGCTGTCACTGACACTTCCGCCCCCAGGTGGCAGAAGCCCGCCTTACAGGTTGGGCAAAGTTGAGGGAGTGGTTGAGGGAGTTGGGCTGTGGAGGATGGGGGTAGGTGAGGGAGGGATGGGGGTAGGTGAGGGAGGGATGGGTAAGGTAAGGGAGACTCGCCTCCTATCTTAACTTACTACATTTCCAACTTCTAAACCCTTTCATCACATGTTCCTCTCCATCGTTTGTACTCCCATTTAAAGTTATATCACCCATGGCTTCTTTCTTGTGTTTTATCCATAGGATCCAACCGAGGATCCTCTGTAAATCTGTTTTCTCCTGAGCGCAGGCGAGAGATACATAATAATCTACACGTGGAAGATATTAGAAGACTGGTTCCAAACCCCCACACAGAAATAACACCACATGAGACCAGTAGGCATGGCAGGATGTGCAGAATACCCCCGTTGAAGAGCAGAGGTGCAACAGGTACTCTGAGAGAGAACTATCAACATCAGAGGCCCGAGACTGTTCAACACGCTTCCACTACACATAAGGGACATAACTGGCCGACCCCTTACAGTGTTCAAGAGAGAACTATCAACATCAGAGGCCCGAGACTGTTCAACACGCTTCCGCTACACATAAGGGACATAACTGGCCGACCCCTCACAGTGTTCAAGAGAGAACTGGATAAGCACCTCCAAAGGATACCTGATCAACCCGGCTGTGAGTCATACGTCATGCTGCGAGTAGCTGCGTCCAACAGCCTGGTTGACCAGTCCAGCAACCAGGAGGCCTGGTCGAGGACCGGGCCGCGGGGATGTTGAGCCCCGAAATCATTGCCAGGTAACCGCAAGGTTGGTGGAGGCTGTGGTGGTGGGGGAGGCTGTGGCAGTGGGGGAGGCTGTGGTGGTGGGAGAAGCTGTGGTGGTGGTGGAGGCTGTGGTAGTGGGGAAGCTGTGGTAGTGGGGGAGGCTGTGGTAGTGGGGGAGGCTGTGGTGGTGGGGGAGGCTGTGGTAGTGGGGGAGGCTGTGGTAGTGGGGGAGGCTGTGGTGGTGGGGGAAGCTGTGGTGGTGGGGGAGGCTGTGGTAGTGGGGGAGGCTGTGGTGGTGGGGGAGGCTGTGGTAGTGGGGAAGGCTGTGGTGGTGGGGGAGGCTGTGGTGGTGGGGGAGGCTGTGGTAGTGGGGGAGGCTGTGGTGGTGGGGGAAGCTGTGGTGGTGGGGGAGGCTGTGGTAGTGGGGGAGGCTGTGGTGGTGGGGGAAGCTGTGGTAGTGGGGGAGGCTGTGGTAGTGGGGGAAGCTGTGGTAGTGGGGGAGGCTGTGGTAGTGGGGGAGGCTGTGGTGGTGGGGGAAGCTGTGGTGGTGGGGGAGGCTGTGGTAGTGGGGGAGGCTGTGGTGGTGGGGGAGGCTGTGGTGGTGGGGGAAGCTGTGGTGGTAGTGGGGGAGGCTGTAGTGGTGGGGGATGCTGTGGTAGTGGGGGAGGCTGTGGTGGTGTGGGAAGCTGTGGTGGTAGTGGGGGAGGCTGTGGTGGTGGGGGAGGCTGTGGTGGTAGTGGAGGCTGTGGTGGTAGTGGAGGCTGTGGTGGTGGGGGAGGCTGTGGTGGTGGGGGAGGCTGTGGTGGTGGGGGAGGCTGTGGTGGTAGTGGAGGCTGTGGTGGTAGTGGAGGCTGTGGTGGTGGGGGAGGCTGTGGTGGTGGGGGAGGCTGTGGTGGTAGTGGAGGCTGTGGTGGTAGTGGAGGCTGTGGTGGTGGGGGAGGCTGTGGTGGTGGGGGAGGCTGTGGTGGTAGTGGGGGCCCCGCAAACAACCTTCACGGGCGGCTACACACTCATGCTGACCTCGTCCTCGTTAATACATTTATTATTATTATTATTATTATTACTATTATTATTATTATTATTATTATTATTATTATTATTATTATTATTATTATTATTATTATTAACGTGTTACTATGGGATAAAAATACACTACAGAAGACCAATAGTCTTCTGAAGACTGAAGACACCAGTTCAATTTGTATCCATACAAGATATTCTAAATATTTTATTCTTTTGAGATTTACATTATGGAATATCTAGTCAATAGACCTGGAGCTTCCCAATTACTTTATTAACTCTCGTGTTCTTGAAGATATCCTCATAATGCACCCAGAGTCTGCCAGTGCAGACTACTGATCACACGGCCCTGTATGACTGATGTTGATTGATAACCGATAAGGATATCTTGTGGTGAGGGAATAGTGTAGGTTGTACGTAAATAAACAATGGCTGATATGAGAGTGAGTTGCTACCTAGCATTTATACCTGGTTCACTCATATTATTGCGATACCAGAATTCATCATGCATTACTCAGCTTTCTCTGAGTCAGTCTAACCCATAGTCAGCATGAAGAACTGCCAGAAATGATTAAATTAATGCAGGCGAGGAGTCACAATAACGTGGCTGAAATATGTTGACCAAACCACACATTAGAAAGTGAAGGGACGACAACGTTTCGGTCCGTCCTGGACCATTCTCAATTCTATTTTTGACTTTAGAATAGTCCAGGACGGACCGAAACGTCATCGTCCCTTCACTTTCTAGTGTGTATGGTCTGGTCAACATATTAAATTGATGTTCAGAATGTACCACCTTCCTTAATGTGGCAAATATCAGGTTGAATCTATTTTATATTTTCGTATATAATATATTTATATATTTAAATATTATATATTTTCGTATTTCGCATATATATTTCGTATATATTTCGTATTGTTTTGGCTCCTCCCCCGAGTGTTAGCTCTCTATACACAACCCCGCACAGAGCACCGGGAACATGTCCACGCAGCTGGTACCAAGAGATACAGAGAGGAGTGCTTTAGTCTGGGTTCGCTGTCCTGACCCCAGGGAGTGTTTACTGGGGACCAGTCTGTAACTGTTTGCTCCTGTTTACCCAGCAGTACCTGATTGTTACCTGCATGCGCGGGATCGTCTTCCAGGGGTATATAAGCTTACCCCATGAGTTATGGGATGAGAAACATCTCAGTTTGTTGACATGATTCAAAAACTCCTGTACGTTTTGGGGAACATTGGTTACAGGGAACTCTTGTACCCATCCTGTGTAAAGAAAGGAAGGAGAAAGAGAGAGAGAGAGAAAGAGAGAGAGAGAGAGAGAGAGAGAGAGAGAG